TCTGCATTCCTCCTTCCTTCTGTTTTTCTGACTCCTCATCAACAGACAGTGAATCTGTTACTCTCTTATTTATTTCGAAGTTCCAAAAGAAGGCCTGAGCACCTGGCTTGTAAGGGCTGGGAGAACTCTACTCTGGAACCCCACGCATCCTCTCTCTGCTTTGTAGTCCCTGACTCCTGAGCTTGCCAGCACACAGTGGACAGCCACAACGCTAAGCATAACTAATGCTTCCCAGCAGCAGCAGACTTAAACAGTACAAATAGCTTCACGTGTTATTTCACAAATCACAGACTTCAGAACAATTTATATTTAAATACGGTTTTATTTAAAAAATCATTTCAAATTCTCTTCTGCTCTAAGTAAAATAGTTATAATTTAGTGACACCATGTGGCTATGTTTTGCTTTGCATTCTTAGAAAAAAATGCTCCTCTCTAGGAAGGTTGCTCTGTGCTAGTTCAATTATGACATCAAAGTTACAGGAAGAACAACTGAAACTCGGTGTTGGCTATTTCTTTAAAGTGGAACCCTTCCTACTCCTTTCATATCTGAAGAGGGCATTTCCCAAATGGTTGAGTTTTCTGATCCCATGAGGAGGGCAAAGACTGAGCATAACTGACTAGGAAACTAAAGCCTCCAGGTGAACTGCTCAATTATGCCAGTGTTTGACTTGAAAAGCAAATAAATGTTGTCTGTGCCCAGTCGGTGGATGAGATGGGGCTCCGGGAGCAGAAAATGAACAAAGACACACATGCATCCACACGCTGCCGGCATGGAGGGAGAGAATGCCTCCATAAAGAGAAACGCTTCTTCTCTCATTTGTTGTATTTCTCTCCCGGATCTGAAGCCCTGTGAAGGTACCATAATCTAATGAGAACAGGTGGGGGAAATGCTACAGCTAATGACAGCAGGAATGAGGGGGAACCGAAATGTATGGTAGCAATAAAAGAGATTCAAATGCCTTATGCCAACAATGGTACAGTTTTAGCACACATCTAATGAGGCTTCCTACAGAAGACCAGCTCTTGTGGACAGCATCCAACATACAAAAAAAAAAAAAAAAGCCTACATGTCCAGAGCAAAGACCAGATAATACCACTTCCTGTATCTCAGCTTACACCACTACCACCCTGGCAACCTCACTTAAAAATACATGCCTGCTCCCGCTGATCCCTACTTATAAATTTGTGTGTATGCTTCTCTAATTGATGAATGCAGAAACCCTGACAGCCATCAGTGTTACAACCTCAGGATTAAGTACAACGAATAGTACAAAGTAGGTGCTTATTTGCTGAATGAGTAAGTGGTGGATGACGAATGAAGAGATTTTTTTTTTTTTCTGAGCTAGTGAAGCATGCCAAAATCCCTGTTCTGAGCAAAAACAGAGCCTCTCTAGTGAGATATTTCTCATCACTGAAGGCCTCTAATGTAACCCCCGAGACTAGAAAGGCAGACTAGCAGATGCTCTGCAACACCCCTGCCTTTTTCTGTGACATACTTGGCACGTTATAATTTCTCACTCTAAGAAAATAGGAGTAAGGAGGGAACGGAAACAACAGTAATTCAAACAGTCAACAGGAATCAAAGGAAATCACTGTTAAAAGAGCCAAGCCTATGCTAGATAGAATTCAGCACATGAGAGACAAGGCCAGTCTCATCAGGTGGTAAGCAATCATTGTTAAATGAACAACCCTAAGCCAGCTGTCCCAACCTAACCCAACCTGAACTGAACATTTGATTATAAAGAGTTTTTAAAGTATTAGGAAAACATGCAGCATTGGATTTAGCATTGGATTGATGAACACCATTTTGTTTGGTTTTGGTTTTTGGTTTTTCAAGACACGGTTTCTCTGTGTAGCCTTGGCTATCCTGTACTCACCTTGTAGACAGGCTGGCCTAGAACTCACAGCGATCCGCCTGCCTCTGCCTCCCTGAGTGCTGGAATTGAGTCTCTATTTTCAACCAGACATCATTCTCAGTACTTGTCACAAATAATGCTGCTCCTGCTCTTTATGGCTGTGGGTACCAGGCTGAGAAAGGCACAGATTCACCACGGGACAAGGATGTGACGTGAAGCCAAGGTTATGGTGAACTCCCTCTACAGCACAGCTCAGTTTCAGACCACAATGCTGACTTACTCTTGCCTAGTCTCAGAAAGAAGTGTAGGTTATCTCCCACACCTTGATTTATAAAAATATCACCCTTTTCAATGTAACATGAAATCTGCAATCCATACAAAACATTCAAAACCTTCAATATGAACCTCAAATTTCACTTTCCTAAGCAAAGCCAGCTCTGAAACTATAGAACTATTTGCCATCTCGGGGAGTTTGTCACCACTCACACCCTCATGATGAAGGCACTGCTCAGATCAGAGAATGTTCACGTCAACGCTGAATTAATCTCTCACCATCACAGTCAGTGCCTCCCACTGCAAAAGCCAGACTGTGTACAGCGTAGCTGTTGCACACAATGCCCAGTCTAAGTACTGTGCAACAGGACCAAGACTTAAAATCCAGACTCCGTGTCCCTAAGAGCCTGTAATTTTACTATCAGAGGCAAAACCAAAACAAACACAAAAGACTCTAAAGAATAAAAGTGACATACGAATATGCAAATTAACTAACATAATAAAAATTACACCTTTACATGCTAAGGAAGTATTTGCAGAGTGAAGTCCCAGCAAGAAGTTCATTTAGAACATTGTTTAAGCAGGCAATAAATGATTATGAAGGAAAACCAAAGCATCCTTGGATAATAAGGTCTAATTCTTAGGTTCATTTTAAAATACTGTTAGAGCAAAAAACCTAACTCAAGAAACAGAATTTATGAATAAATGTAGTAGCTATGTTTAACTGGTTATCACTTCTAAAGCTTTCTTATTAATGTGGATACTAAGATCCCTCCCTTCTTTTGCTACCACCATCTCTCGGGCCAGCTTTGCTCAGATTTCTGACGTACTGAGAGCTGATGTATTGTACAAGTCCCCATGGGCACACGTATCTGAATGTTTGGTCCTCAGTTGCTGGAACTGTTTAGCAAAGATTAGGGAGTGTGGCCTTGGAGGAAGCTTGGCACTGGGGCCGTCCATGCTGTGTGTCCGTGTGTGTGTGTGTGTGTGTGTGCGCGCGCGCGCGCGCGCGCGCAAGAGAGAGAGACTGGTGGGAAGCAGTGTCCACTCTCAGCTGCTGCTCCTCTAAGCATCATGCCTGGCATGCTGCCTGCTGCCTGCTCTCACAATGGTCATGGACTCGCCTTCCGAAACTGTAAACCTCCAATAAATCTTCTCCTAAGTCGCTTTGGTCATGTGTTTTTCCACAGCAACTAAAAAGTAACTAAGACATGTACTAAAACAAAAGCTGGCAGCACAAATAACACAAAAAATGACTCTAGCAAAGTCAGGTCCACTAGGAGATTTGAAAGAAGAGGAGGAGGAAGAGGAGGAAAAGGAAGAAAGAGCAAACGCCTAAGGCCAAGCATGTTTTCTAAAAGCTAGAGAGCCTGACTGAAGGCAGGTCTCCCTAGCTGTGTGTGTGGGGGGGGGGGGGGGGAGCAGAGCTGGAGTCATGATACTTGGTTCTAGGAGTTGTGTTCCTATTGTTTCAAATTACATCCAAATGCACTGTCCTACCATCCATGTCAAATGCGTAGACTGAGACACTGCTTATTTTTTAATCTGCTGCAACCATTACAACCTGAGTCAGTGCCTACTTGACCTCCTCCATATCGGACCCTCTCATTCTCCAAACATCTGGAGGGCAGCGCAGAGATACGGAATCTTCACACAATTTCTTGCCCTTCTTATATTAGTCCATTCAGAACTCCTCAGGGTAAAACAACAACTGCCAGACCTGAGACGCTTTAGTCCCTCTTTGAGGAAATGAAATTGATTTTCTTCATTTTCACACAAGAGGATCCCTGGGTAGCAATACCGTGTCCAGTCACACCCACAATAAAAATGGAGGTAATATCTCTGTACTAGCTCAGTGACTACACGGTTTTGTGAAATTCTTGTGCTGATAGTTATCTATTACTTCACAGAGGTGACTCCTGACCAGGAGTCTGAGCCAGGGACAGTCTCAGCAGCTCCATGTCAGTCACAACTATAAGTCAGGGTGGATGACATCTGATGTGGGGAGGTAGGTGAGGTGATGAAGAGGGGCCAGCTCCACATTCTTCCTGCTCCACCCACCATTTCTCTTCCCTTCTCTCCAATCCTCACTATATGAGCCTGCCATTTTCTGTCTTTAAGCTCTTGAAGATTATCAAAGGGCACTGTCCGATGGGAAAATGAACAGATCTACATAATTTTCAGGGAACTTGAGCCACCTTTTCTGGCTTCCAACTTCATTACCTTATATGTCTTTCGGAACTACAGAAGTTTAGATTAGGGTTTTTACCTATAGAATATAAGCTATTAGACCAGAAACCTTTCAATATCCAATATCCTTTAAAACAATCTTAACACAGCATTGCCAAACAACAGGATCAGCTGGTACTGAAGGATGTGAACATGAAGACTGTCAGCTAAGCCAGCCCTGTGACTTTGCTTGACCCCACTCACAACACCTGCTGTCAAACCACACCTGCCACCATCCCCTCATGTGGAAAAGGCCCAAGTGTGTGCACCAGGCACACCAGCATCCAGAGCCCTCCTGCTGGCTCTGGGCACCACCAGGAAGCCTTCAGGACACTCTTTCCCAGGTGTTAAGGCAACAACACTCTGTCAGCACAGCTGCTTTCTCTGTGTGGACAGCAGGGAGTGCACGGGCTCGCCTACCTCTCAAGGGCCTGCTTCTTCATGGTCTTCACTTTCCACAGAAAAACATGGCACAAAACACAGACAGTTCCATCGTGCACTCCACACACTAAGGTGGCTAGCTCCCCCTACGGGTTTTTGTTTTCTGGGGAGTTGTGTTTATTTTGTTTTGTTTTTTGAGAGCAGTCTCCTCATACTCCAAATGTCCTTAAATAAAGATAAAATTTATTAAGAAGCACTTACCTGCAGACACGAGCAGGGAAATACAACTTTTGCCAAGACCGACACAGGTAATGTGAATGATCTATCACCCTGATCCAATCAAGTTCGTCCATGGACACTTCAATAAAGTAGGAATAAGAACTGTGAAGAAGAAAAAATATGGCACAGTGACAATACAAAACCAAAGTAAAATATTAAAAGGTGCCAACACATAGAATTCACTAATTATTTTTTCTTTTTTTAGTCACATTTATCAAATTTAGGTAACAATGAAAGCTGTATAAAAGCCTCTACTGAGGCATTTACCCAATGTATTAAAATTTTCTCTCAGCTGACTGTCTGTCAAATCAAATGATCAACTGCTTAAAAACAAAATAAAACGCAAGATTGCTTTTCTTTATATTGCCAAAATTCCACGGCCATTCCAGATTAGCAGAGAATAAAGCCAAGAGAAAGGAAATGAGGAAAGCCTCGGCCATATTAGCAGAGCAATAAAGTCAAGAGGGAGGGAAGGAGAGACCGAAAAAATAGGAGAGTTTCAGGGATGAGAACAGAGAAGCAGGTAAGTACCCTCTCCTCCTTCCATGGCCCCTGGCCTAGGTGCTCCACACTCCCCCTTCGCAGTGGGGAAAACTAAGTGGAATGACAGAATGGTTCCCCACAGAAGCCAGCCTACCCCCAGCTACCTCTCAGTCTCCTACCACACCACACTTAAAGGCAGCCTGCTGGAAAGTACATGACGTGGGTGAAAAGATAATGCTTGTTTCTTCTGGATGAAACTTGGAACTTACCAGCTAATAACCTGGCGGTAATGAAAACAGCCCATCACCCTCCCAGGACCATTACATGCTGGTCCCACACTGAACAAATCTGTATTTCCTTGTCATGAACCAAATTTAAATTTGAGATGCAGTTATTACTTGTACAGTAATATCAACAGGAACAATCTTGGAAGATTTAGGTGATCATAAATGTCAGCCTGCAGCCCACAGTTGTGACCAGAAAAGGTCAGCTTATTTTGTGTCATCCCCTCATTTTCTGCTGTCTCCTCAACTCCCATTCATTTTATCGCTCAGTCTCAAACTGGTTATAACCTTTTATTGAACCTCTCTGGGTTATCAGTAATGTGGGATATAATTTTACAACACATCAGAATCTTTTTGGCTTAAGATTTTGAATTTTTCACCTTTGCTTCAAATGTTAGCAGTGTTTATAAGAAAAGAACACAGTAAAGCTAAGTCTTCTGTGGATGTAATACAGATACTAAAATAAAGTGGCCTATAAATATTTAACACCACGGAAACAAAAAGCAGCAGCTTTCAGGTTCAAGCACACTAACCTTTTCCTTTATCATTTTTATACCAATTTCATTATTAATTAGATGAATGAGATATATATATAAAGCCTTTAGAATGCCTACCATGTGCAAGTCATGAAAGTGCAATACATATATTATTATTACATTGTTATTATTAACCAGGGACTCTTGGAAATGAGAAATATGAATTAACTCCAACCTTTCTGTCAATTATGCTTCAAATACCCACCAAGATACATGTCAGGAAATATATTTATTTTTTAAAAAGATGTTTTAAGAGTGTGTGAGTGTGAATGTGTGAGTGTGTGTACATATGGAGTGAGTGAGTGTGTGTGTCTGTGTGTGTGTCTGTGTGTGTGTGTGTGTGTGTGTGTGTGTGTGTGTGTGTGTGTGT